AATGTAGATAGTTGCAATAGTGATGATACGAGATGGGAAGTAAACAATGGCTACCAAATGTTCAGGGTTAGTGGACTGTGGAAGGGAATGCAGGCGCATGGGAAGGCGAGTACGTGTAGCGATTGCCACACCTCCTCGGGCCCGACCCATAGGATGATCATGGCGATGCAGAGTGTACCCTGACAGATGGATCCTTTGAGTGTGTTTCAGAAAAGTTTCATTAAGGATAACGTCAAGTATTTCGGGATAAACTTCGGAAGACTACGGGAGGCGCTCAGAAACATCATCTTCTCTTCGCCCCCATATGTGATGGAGCTGAAGGCCTATAATTTGAAGAAATACCATTAAGTCTCTTATAACGGTGAAGTTTATATAATTTCTATGGGTTTTGAGTCTGTTTTACTTCACCATATAACAACCTCAATTAATTTAGGTATGTGAATAATGTTATGATATTTCGTCGAATTAATTGTTCGATATTATATACCGGACCAACTGTTTAAAATAACTGTATATATATATGTGTGTTAAACATATTATTCACTTACCTAAATTACTTTAGGTTACTATAAGGTATTAGTAAAACGGGCATAAAATGCCATAGACAAAACGTCAATTCATACCGGTACATAAAGTGCATTGTATCTGTTATTTTAAATGTATACACGACGATTGTACGAGTATATGGCTTATAGAAATGTAATAAAAAAATATTACTGGTAATATTTGATAAGAACTCCACTGTTCACATTGGCGATGCTAAAACTAGTGTTAACGTACTGTTTCGTGTCGTAACTTTTGTTTCTTTACATGTCATTTTATAGTACAATATCAACACAATTTTATTTGCCAAAATAAAGTACTTTCGTTGGACTAAGTATCAGTTCAAAGTTTATTGATTTCTAAAGATAAAGAAAATCAAATACATTAAAATAATCCTTCAAATCATATCTTGTCAAACGAATAATGTACATTTCATGTTGTTGTTTTCTAATTTCACTTATGTGTAGGTGTTCTAAACCTACATGACATCAGGCACGCCATGTGGTAAACACGCCTTAAGTAAACATCTTTCTATTGTCCTGACTCTTGACTATGAATCGATTTAAAGTGGAAGACAAGCATAACGATCCAGCAGAAGATTTAAAACAACCTGAACTTATCTTGTGAGTTCCGTTGTAAAGTTTTGAATCGTTACACAATGGGCTGTTTGCGCTGGTTGTATAACCATAAACACAGGATTGTATCATTTATACAGGGTTTATTTTTTTTCGTGAATACACGGGTTACATAACCATGAACACAGGGTTTGTAACGTCATATTTACAGAAGTTATTAAGTCATGAACATATATTGATTTTATTACATTGAACATATTAAGGTATCACACGACGTGGCGTGATACTAGTCACGTGACCTCTGCTGACGCAACAATATTAATGTATTACTGCAAATCGCTAACACTTCCACGACTAAATGAATTACATTTTACTTTTCAGTTCTTTCCGTAAATACTCCATAAAAAGAAATATAAAAGTATTAATTATTAAAGTAATTATATAACGTTCTTAATTTATAAATACGGAATGATCCCTAAGAAAAAATATCATCACTAGCAGTTGTTTCTAAGACACGTGACAAGCATAAAATAAGTAAGAACGTTCAAACTTTTATCGTATACATTAAAAGTAAAATATACAAGAAAACTTTACAGTCAAAAACTCTACATTTTCGGTGGAGAAAGTTCCACCATCTTCAGGAGATTGGAAGAGTTTTACTTGTATATTTTACTCTTAACTTAACCCCCCAGTGACACATCGGCATGTCTGCGGACTTACAACGCTAGAATCCGGGTTTCGATACCCGTGCTGGGCAGAGCACAGATAGCCCATTGTGTAGCTTTGTGCTTGATTACAAACAAACAATATGCAATAGGGCCCCCCAGTGGCACAGCGGTATGTCTGGTGACTTACAACGCTAGAATCCGGGTTTCGATACCCGTGGTGGGCAGAGCACAGATAGCCCATTGTGTAGCTTTGTGCTTAATTACAAACAAAACTTATACAATAAATTATTGTGCAGTTTTAAACGTTAATTGTTTTTACGTATTT